GGGGGGGTGGGTGTTCATGTGATGGGGATGCATGCACATTGTGTACATGTTCAGGGTGGAGGCCAGAGGTTGATGTTTTCTCTCGCTCCATATGTTATTTTTTGAGACAGGGTCTATCACTGACCCTAGAGTCTGTGCCATCATTTTTTATGTGGGTGCTGGGGATCAAACACAGTTCCTCATGCTTACGTAGTAAGCACTTTACTAACTGAGCCATCTCCCCAGCCCTCATTTTCCTTATGTTTTTGAGGAACTTTTTCCAAGATGAAATTTTATGAAAATATCAAAACCAGAGAAGAACGGGAGTGGGAGCTGAAAAGCTGAAGACCCCTGTGGGTTTCTTCCTTTTTCCCATAGTTGGAATAACAGGCACAGAGAAACTGAATTAAACCCATAATCCTAGGCATTCTTATAATTAGCTTTCTTTTAATCAAAGCTTACTCATCTTAGGTCTCATTTCTTTTGGGCCATTTACATGCCATCCAGCTAAACCAGCTAATTAGATTGTCAGGTTATGAGTTTACTCAGAAGTGTCTAATGGTAAAAATAGAATTCAGATTCTACCAGATAATGCTTATATTTTAATCTGGACCTTAGTTTTAAAAGTACTTTAAGGGGCTGGTGAGATGATTCAGCAGTAAGAGTACTGGTTGCTCTTGCAGAGCAGAGGACCTGGGTTTGATTCTCAGCACCCACATGGTGGCTAACAACCATCCATAACTCCAGTTCCAGGGGAATTTGATGCTATCTTCTGACCTCTGGGACAACATGGGTGCACTTACATACATACAGGCCAATACACTCATATACATAAAGTAAAAGAATTATAAAAAAATTTTTAAAGTACTTTAAAGAAATAATATTACTTGTGCAAAATTTCAGGCACTTCTGATGTCTTCCAAGGATGCATTTCCAGAGTCTCTTATGGCACGGGTTCCTTCCTGTGAGGATGGGCTTATGCTATTATTCCAATAGGTGAGCCACTTTTTATAGAAATTGCCTTTCAGGGGCTGAAGAGATGGCTCAGCAGTTAAGAACACTGGTTTTTGCAGAAGACCCAGGTTCGAATCCCAGCACCCACATGGCAGCTAACAACTGTCTGTAACTCCAGTCCCAGGGGATCCGACAGCCTCTTCTGACCTCTGTGGGCATTGTAGGACCCAGGTGCACTTACCTACATGCAGGCAATACACGTAAGTCCACTTCCAGGAGATCCAATGCCCTCTTCTGACCTCCACAGGCATTGCATGACATGGGTGCATCTACCTACATGCAGGCAATACACGCATAGACATAAAATAAAAATAATAAATAAAAATTTTTTAAAGTTAAATAAGAAATTGCCTTTCAAGTGATATTTCAGTCAAAATTAAATAAATAAATTATTTAAGAGAAACCTCTCCCTGGACCAGTATGAAACAACCATTTAAAAACTGTAACGGCACAAATTAAGATAGCAGTAAAGCAATTTGTTTCTGTCCTGTATTTCTGTGTAAGCAGATCTGTCATTTCTGAATGTTTTGTTGTCAAATGTTACCTACCCCTTAGATATGATTCCCACCTCTTCCCTTTTAATGGTATTAACTGAGGTTACTATCCCTTGCTTAGCAGTTTGGCTATGCGCAGCGATTCTCCTGGTGTGCACAAGGGGGCAGGAGACACCGTGTTGCACAGATGTCTGCAGTTCCTTCTCTGAGACTGACCCTGGAAAGAAGGTTGCCAAGGCCAAGACCTGGCCAGACTCTCTCAGTTCATGTTAAGACACTTACCATTTCAAAATCTTCTCATAAGAAACTGATGAAGAAATGACTAGAGAATCTAAGATTAGGCTGGAAACTTAAAATTCCATAGCACTATTTCAAAGACTAGGAAAAGAACGTGAAGATATGAAAGCAGATCTGATTTTCAGTTTGCTCTTTTATCTCACTCACACCTACATACATGCACACACATGTACACACATACACGATGTAATGGTCATAGCCTTATCTTCTTAACACGGATGGATTTCTTTTTAAAATATATCCACAAGGAAAGAAATGCTTGGGCTTTTGCATGACTGGATCATTTTCAAGATATTTAAATATGATGTTTTAAATATAGGAAACATTGGATTAGGAGTCAGACAGCTTGGCTCTGGGCTATATTTCTGATTCACTTGTGAGCTCCATACTTCTCCATTGATTTGTCAGTTTGTTTCCTCACCTATAAAATGATCATTAGAGCCTTTCTGGCAAAGAGAACTTTCTTCACATATACCCAAGACTGGTAGTAATACGAGAGTAACATCTTTCCCAGGGTAGTCTGGAAGGCAGGAGCCCACATCTGTTAGTGTATCCGTCCCAGTGTCTTTCCACATGACTATCTAGTCAGCTGAAAGGTTGTAAGCCACAGCCAAGAGATTCTTTGCTTTGTTTCCTGTTTACTGATAACTTGCAGCAGATAATAATTGTTATGGGCAAAATGAGGAGAAAACATGCAGGGCTGCCCTCACAGGCAGGAAACATATTTATTGGACCAAGGGTCTCAAATCATGAATCAATAACAGGAAGTATACTAGTAGAAATGCAAATAATGATGACACAACCACAAATGTTCATTTCCCAGAGGGGAAGGATGGAGCATACCACAGGAGGTGTTCTCCCATGGATGACACTGCACAGGCCAGTGCACAGAGCAAGATACAGTGCTGGCTTAAAGGGACCACAGACATCCCAGGGGGTGTAGCTAGTCCCAAAGACTGAGGAGTTTTGAGCTGGTGGCTTTGAAAGGTATGGTGAAGAACTGCAGAAAAGGAGAGGGGAGGGGGAGGAAAGAGAGGGCAGGAGATAGAGATTTTGAAGGCAACAGGTTTGGTATAAAATGTTAAGTGGCAAGTAATATAGGAAGGACATGTGAGTCAAAAAATAAAGAAGGGGGGAACCCACAAAGGTCAAATCATTGTGATTTGCCATAGTGGCAAAAAAAAATCTAATTTTAAAATTTTAGTTCCTCTCAATTTGTGTCCTTGCCGGGTAAATGATAATCAATTCATCTTAAGCCCAGAGAGAGGAAAGAAGAAAAAGTTAGAGTAAAGCAACTTCAAGTCTAAGACAGAATTTGGCAATCATAAAACTAAAACTAGGAATGTACACTGGTTTGGGGTAGAGCCAGAGCAATGGAAGATCAAAAGGAAGGCAGCCAGGCTCAACAGCCTAGCTGTTAAAGCCACAGACTCTGGAGCAGCATAATCCTGGGCCTGAGGTTTCCCCCCTGTAAAATAGATTGATGCAGCTAGTATCTCAGGATTGTTGTGAAGATTAAGTGAAATGGTATTTGCAGCCACCTTACAGTTATGCCTGACACCACCTCTCTGTGGGTGTTCACCATTATGTGAGGGGAGGCCCTGTGTCCAGGGTGAGAAGCATGCCTCAGACCTTAAGAAAATCAGAGTGAAGGGCAGAAGGGAGCAAAATTCTGTTCCCTAGCAGGATGTCAGGCTTGCAGGGACCCGAAGAAGACAAAGAGGAAACTGAGATGGAGGGGAGGACAGAGGGAGAACAGAGTAAGGATGTTATCGCCTGAGCCTGAGATTAAATGAGTACTAGAGATGTGCAAGAAATGGGATGATGAGGCTGGACCAGTGATGGGTTTGCTGGAGCTGGGAGAGCACCAGGCTTGGAGGCAAAGTCTGGGCTGCATATCCCAGGGTGCATACTTCTTGGCTCAGTGAGCTAGGAAAAGTCACTTACTCTCTTTTTCTTTCTTTCTCCTTCCTCTGACCCCAAGAAAGTGAAAATAGTGCCAGCCCCACAGCAGTGAGCCTATTGAAGGAGGACATTTGTGGTTGATGTTTGAGCACCCTATAACTTCGGTTTAGGGCGCTGAGAGAAGCTACCTCTCACCGCCTGGTCTAGGGGCGTCCAGGCCCAGGGAAGGAGCGTAGCAGTGGGCGGGGAAGACACTCACTGGGAATCTGGGGACAGATAAAGGAAACTCCTGATAGGGGCGAGGCGGGGCTGAAGAGAAACAGATTGGGGTAGAGTTGCGAAGGGAGGGGTCCGCTGGAAGCGAGAGGGAGAGACCGAGAAGAATGGGTGGGAGGCAGGGAGATGTGGAAGAGCAATGCAAGAAGAAAAGCAGGCTGGGGAAAGAGGGCTCGAATCCGAATGAGAAGGAACTTGGGGAAGGAAGAAGTCCTGAAGAAAAGAGCAAAGAGGAAAAGACAAATAGGGGTGCAGGAGACGGCGGGAGGCCCGGAGGAATCGGGAACGAGCGAAGGAGAAATGAAGCTGCTGGAGCCTGGGCCAGAAGGGGTTGGGGATAGGGAGAAGAGAGGCTGGGGCCTGCAGAGGGGCGCAGCCGCTTCTAGCGTAGATCCAAACTCGGAAGACTGGTGGCCTTTGCCTGACCTCGAAGGTCTCGAATAGACTCGGGTCTTTGTGGAGAGCAGCATCCTACCGGGAGAATGGGGCTGCGAAGAGCTGGACCCTGCGCCTGACTTCCTTGGCTTTGGGCTGGGCCCCGAGCGGAGCTAACCGCGGGCTTGGAGGTTGCAGCGGAGGAGAGAAGGTACCACCCCCGGGAGTCAGCTCGCAGCCTGAGGCAGAGGCGCCGTTTCGGAGCAGCTTCCCGATTCCCCGCTGCTCACTCCAGTGTAAGTGCTGGCCGGGGGAGAGAACTGGAGCGCGGCTGCGGAGGGACTGCTTCTCCGACGTTGCCAGCGGGAGCCTGGCGCTGCGGGCAGTCCGGTGCTACCCAGCCGAGAGTCGGCGACGTACCGGTCGCCGGCCCAGCACTTGGGGCCCCGCGCTGCACTCAGGGCCCCTCAACCTCACACGCGTCCCGCGGGGGCGCTGCGCCTTCGTGCCACCCCAGCCCACCGTCGCCCCTCACTCCACACCTCCTTCCCGCACCACCCGGCCTCCCTCCACCCTCCCTCCTGTACTGCCCTCCCGCCCCTCCCCTCCCGGAGAGGGGCGGGAGGGGGCGTGGCAGGGCCTGGGTTTGTGTAGCGGCTACCGGGCTCCTCCACTCGGAGTCTGCGGGAGGAGCGGAGCCCCCGCCGCTGTCCAGCCACTTGGTGCCTTTCGCGCCCAGCGCCGCCGCCGCGGTCGCGGTCGCCTCTGGGGAAGACGCAGCCACTCGCTAGCCATGGATACTCCCAGGATCCTGCTCTTGGCCATCTTCCTCATCAGTTTCTTCTGGGATTTGCCAGGCTTTCAGCAGGCTTCCATCTCCTCCTTGTCCTCCTCCTCCGAGTTGGACTCCACCAAGGACGTGAGGAGCCGCAAAGAAGGGAAGATGCTACGGACTCCGCGAGACGGTGCCACCGGCCGGACGCCCCAGGAGCGACAGCCGCCGCAGCGGGAGCAGGAGCCGCCCGGCAGGGGCCCGCGCGTGGTGCCCCACGAGTACATGCTGTCAATCTACAGGACTTATTCCATTGCCGAGAAGCTGGGCATCAATGCCAGCTTTTTCCAGTCTTCTAAGTCAGCTAACACGATCACTAGCTTTGTAGACAGAGGACTGGGTAAGTAGCAAAGAAAGCGCTCGGCTCCTCTCCCGCTGGAGCTTGGCAGTCAGAGCGCTGCTCCAGCTCTGGCTGGAAGCGGCGTTTCTGAATTCCCGTCCCATTCTGGACACCTCCCCTCCTATTTTCTTAAAATGTTTTTCTTAAGCCCAAGTGTCTGAGTGTGGTTGCAGATTTTGCTCCTGTCTGCAACCCTCCCTTTCTCTCTTACTTTTTCTTCCTTCTTTCCTTTTCTTGTTTCCTCGTGTTTTGCCGAAGGGAGCGTGGTGGCCACTGGTCTGGTAGTTAGAAGAGGTAGCGTGGTGGAAGACAAGTGACTGGCAAATGATCCAGGATGGAAAAGGACCGGGGAGAAGACTAATGGACCCGACTAATGATTGGTGTAGGGTGTGTGGTCCTCTGCCTGAGCTTTAGGGGGCGAGCCTGGCGGGCTCTAGAGCGCGACTGCTTTGGAAAGGCTGGAGCCTCCTGCCTCTCTAGGAAAAGCCCTCACAGCTGGTCAGTCGCGAGAGAAAGTCTAGGACCAGCGTCAGGCAATGCGTCGGTTCAGCAGCCCTGTGGGTTCTCCTGCAGGCCTTGCGCTGGGCGTGGGGAATGTCAGTCAGGCCGGCACCCAGTACCTTCTGGGACTTTTTTTCTTCCTTCAGCATCACGCACCTGGAGGCTTTTAGGCTGTAGTTTACCGGCGGGCCCGCAATAGGGGTCCCTGAATTTGTGAGGTTATTGGTGCTTAATGCATGCTTTCTTAGCCAGATAACATTCTTCTCTCTGAGCATTTAGGGTTCCCCTCTGCCAAGCAGGGTGCACGAGTCTGTGGGATCCTCACCTTCCCCTTCTTGCTTTCATTGCTGGATACATGGATACAGCGCGGCCAGCGTCTTCAAGAGAAAACTCGCTGCTTTGGGGAAAGTTCTGCGGGCTCCTAAAGAGGGGGGAATATATA